TCCTTCTAGATTTGTTTTTGATAGGAAAGAATAAAGCATCCACCTTCTCATGTGCTTTGGCTTGTAGTTTGCCCATAAAAATCATCAAAATACGTTTAGCCATTCGAATCTCATGGGGTGCTACTAAGTCTGTCGGAAGATATTCTTCGATTAAAAATTCGCGTTTATGTATAGTAGCTTTGTAGCATTATTCGGTCTCCATTGAAGAATGGGATTAAGTCTTAGTCCACCTTAGATATTTAGATTAGACAAATCGTTTAAAGGAAAGGGTAAGGACAAAGTGCAGAAAATAAAGAGTCTACAGGCATTGGGATATGAATATGATGAGTGACTACTTAGTGCAGGCTCAAATATGACTGAATAACATTTCTCCTGCGTTTCCCAGTGTAGTTAGAACATTATTTTTAGAAATGTATTACATTAATATTAAGAAGAATGGTTTAACTTTTTATGGGATTTAGCTCATTACATTCATTTTTGATTTGATGAAGATCTATATTTTTACGATTATTTATATTATGTAATTTATATTAATTTAATTTATTTTTGGTTAACTAATTTATATCTGTCTACAAGTCTATTAGAGTATAAACACGAAAACTACATTTACGACAAGAGAATGGCAACGTACAAAAGCGAACGAACACCTAATTACATACAAGAACGGACCCGTCGTCGACGTGATAAATCTGTCGCGGCCCTGAAGATACGGGCTCTAACTTATCTCCAGGGGAGACCCCGCGCACAGATTCCCCTTTTATTTTCCATCCGTCGCACCCAATAATTACAGAAACAATTCCACCGGGTCGCGGCGCGTTGGAAATACGAAAGACGTTGAAACCGGATTTATTGCGATTTAATTACAGGGGACGCGAGATATTCAAATCGTGGCCAATTATTTATCGGCCGTTTAATTACGGTATCTATCGTCGGGAGGCAGATCCGTTCGTGTAGGGGGCCCGAATCTTTAACGTCGACTTCTAGATAAGGACTTCCTCCTTAAGGCGTCCACGCAGGCGACCGACAACGCTTTGTCAGGGCGTATTAGATTCTATCGGAGTAGATGGGATCGTGATTGACTCTCTATTGGATTTGTCTATCGCTGAACGCTCGTTATTGGACTTGGTAGTTAATCGTGTAATTAAATTCTAGACGTGATGATTAGGGGATGAAATCCGGTACGGTTCGATTCGGTTAGTAATTGACTATAAGAAATATATTTTTGTGACAAATAGGAATTTATTAATTGAAAAGAGTTAATAACATTAAGATTTTTACATTATAATAGCTCACGTCAGGTGTTTCAAAAAATCACTTGTAAAAAAAAATCTATTTTATCACATCTTTTAGAAACATTTTTCGAACCACTCAAAACCTCTTCAGCGACATGTGTTGTTTACAGCGCGTCAATTATAGCCGTCAGCTGGACAGCGCCTTCCTACTACTATAGATGTTATCTGTCCTTTGATGGGGCAGGAAGAAACCACGACTACCTGTTACCGGAGCCGCATCCCTCAGGATCACCCTTATGGAAGCTTACAAGCGGATACTTAATCCCTATTGTGTGTCAAAAATTTTTGTGCATGTCGTTGATTAATAGACGCGGTTCGCGCGGCAAATGCGACTGCGGAAGGTAATTTATGGCCGGAGCCCCATTGTGCCCCCTAATCGGACTGTCTGGTCGGACGGATCCCGGACTAGATGAGCCGATCCGATTAATAATGCGATCTGAATTGAGATCGACGAGGCGTGTGCCATTATATGGGCCCAATTTGCCGTCTACGCCCCTCGTAATACCCAACAATGGTTTGATGTCAACGAAGAAAAATCGAAAATGATTGAACGTACCGGTGATGATGTGGTATTGGTTAACTCGCCTCAAGATTACGAAATATCTATTGAATCGACCATCATGCTTTAAAAATATTTACAACCCGCCTTATAAACTGTTCACGTAACGAAACCACGTCTACCTCTTTTTAGAAGTTCGTTTTGGGCAATCGCATGAATACAAGTGCAATACCGGCGTCTGGGGTGTTGTTCCGCTTCCCGGAGCGTCGTTTTTGGTACGTGCCGACTCCGCGCAGATGATCTTTTCCGATGTCATGTTAAATGTAAAATTCTATTTCCCAGAGCGCGAGAAATTGTCGGTACGTGTCCATCTTGGTTTCAAACGAGAATTTCAACTTTACACTTTTTATCGCTGCATTTCGATGTGTTCTTTCATTAATATTTTATCAACAAACAAGCTAAACAAATAAGATATGATAACGCAGTAATATTATATAAAAGTAAACATTATTTTGATTACGTATGTTTTTGTTAGATTTCATTAGTCATTTCAAAAATAAAACCAATAAGGAACGATGAAAATTAGTCATAGTTATCTAGATTATTTACACATTCTTTAGTATTACGAAATTTTATTCCCACAGTTAAAATTTATTAAAATAAATTCTGTAATCCTGAAAATGTATACAATAAATAATAATTATCGTTGCAATAAATCATGGAATAGTCAAAATCTCTCTAACTACAGCTCTGTAATTAATGAAAGTTGAAATCATTCTTTTAGAAACTCTCTCTTAGAGACTCTTTTAGAAAAAAGTACACATGGTATCATGCGCCTTATGAGTTCATTAAAATGAGTTTATTAAAATGCTTTAATAGCAGAAGCCAGGACGACAATGGAAATATAAACTTTTGTCGTATGAGTAGCACTGATTTGGAGTGGACACACTAACTACAGAGCTGCTATTTATCTATTGGAACGTCTACCACTAACCTTCGGTTTCTCGCAACGGGAGATTCATATACTTCTCAAATGTACTTATTTCGAATCTCTAAGCAAGCAATTTGGTTAATTGCTATTCCTTTTTCTGAACAATGACGAATTTCGTTATTGTCTGAAAGAAATTCTAGGTACTTATAGGCAAACTATTTGCTGATAAAATATGTTTCAGCACCAGATTTACAATAGCCATTATATTTTTCTTTTCCCTATAATACTGAGCCACTAAATTTATAATTTTTCTTTTTGCTACAACATAAACACAACGTTCTTTTGTGTTCCTTTCGGTGTAGACGTAGCTTAAGAGTTTCCATTTGGAACAATTACAATGCAAGTATGCACCCTATGAGAATAGCTGATGAAAAGCTCATGAATTAATGGAGAAAGTATTTGAAAGAAAATAATTTTTTTTATATTATTAATAAACCCTTTTAAAAGTTTATTTTAACATTCTTCTGGTGTATAAAAGATGCTGTTAGGTTGTAGTAGTACCGAGAGTCTCATTCAATTTCCGTATAACTTTCCTGCGGCCGATTCAATTTGCGACGCCCTGTTGCTGCGAAACCGCGTAGCTAAAGGAACAGAAACAACTTAATTTTGGCCGGAAAGACGTTAGACCAACGCCCTACAGAAAATCGGAACCAGGAAGAGAGAGTTAATCTGCATTTATAATGCCCTAGCTGAAAGTGCCGGGGGAGAGTATCACGGGAAAGGAGCAGCATCAGAGATTTCCTAACAGCAAAGCGCTTTATCCTGCTTATACGATATTTTTTTTATACATTCACGTTAGGACATTAGGAACACTCGGTACCCCTCTTTTTCTTGCGACGGCGAATTGACAATGGAGGAGAGTCGTAAAGAATATTACTGCCACTTTGTTCGCGAATGCCACGGCTGTATTAGACGTTTGTGGTGGAACTCGGTTGCTTTATTAAGAAGACTTGGGTTCTGTTTTATACGAAAAGTAAAATTGCCAACAAGAATAAAGATGATAAAGTTGATATGAAAATTGTTTCTAATAACGATTTTTAGTTTTGGTTATAAAATATAATGTAAGATCGAAATTTGTGATTATACAAGTCATGTTAGATGGTAGAATAAGTCGGTGAAGGGATAAATATTACACCAACGCTGTCATGAATACAAATCGCGTTTAATCGTGCGATTCAGCAAACGTTATGTATCCAGGGATTCAACTTGTCACGTACAACGTTCCTTTGCATTGAGACGCGATGGCGTTACATGCACATATCCACGACATTTGATTAGGGTCAAGGGTCAACGTATACTATACGCGGTAGCTGGGAGGACGTTAACCATGACAAGAAATGACGTTTACGTTTATTAATTAACCACGTTGCGTATATTAATTTTGAAACTAAATTACAATTTTCCTCAGTTATTATTGATCGTTTTAACGGGATTTTAAAGCAAAATAATGTTGACTTCGAAAGACTTCGCTGTAAGTGAATTAAAATGTATTTACCTGAGGATAAGCGTGAGATAAAAGGTTTGTCGTTCCAGTTCTAGCCACGTTGGACGACGAGGTTTAGGGGATCGGAAAGGGTGGTCAACCCCCTCCGGTTCTTCGTCTTTACGAAGCCATTAAACCTATTAAGGGAACCGAACCGAACGCCAATATTTATCGTTCGCGCGTAGCTCTCGAGATTTTAATTTTTAATTCAGCACCAGACGGAAAATAAAATTTCTTACCCGAAGGGAAGTGTCAAAAATAAAGTACGACCCTGGAAAACTTACCACTTGAATTTCCCATAAAATATTAGTTCAGTTTCAAAATTTTAAAACTTTTCGAAATACCTACATCTAATAGTAATCTATTGAGTGGGTCCAGCTTTGACTTCTTAGTCGGGAAACGTTTGTGCCCCGAAGATAACGTTCCTAGAGACGACTGAGTCTGAATAAATATTGAATATTCCCGAACGACGACACCAGGGGCAGGGGCCAATAAGACCTTCTATCAGGGGGATATTATTATGTAAATACGACGCTCGCCCAAGGCCCTCACCGACTTTGATGGCCCCGCAAAGAGGACGCCAAGATAGAGGAAGCCGATGTTCGCCTATTTTGCCTTAAAAGAGCATAAACTGCGTTTATGCACGAGACATTATCGTTTGCCACCTTCAAATCGAATATTTCGATTGGAAGGAAAATTGGAATCGATGAAATTTACTGATTTACACCACACCGGTTGAGATAATTGATTTTTTCTTTATTATTGTTATTATTATTGATATTGGAGCAATAAAATGTTGATTACCTTTGTGGTAGAATAGAAAATAAAATGTTAATAAAACTTTTATACTGTTGGAATTATTGCTTATTGAAAGACATCTTTATCCTTAACTGGTTTTCCACGAGCATCAGTACCATGTGTTGCTACAAATAATCAATATATAATCATTTTGAAATTTTTAAAAACTGTATTGGTTTACAAGGAATTTCGACCAAATGTGGATGAAATCTTTTACATTTACCCTTCGCTATTTCTTTTATTGTTGGGATAGCAGAAATGCATTTTATATCTTTTTCTATGTGCCAAGCATGTGTTGAATTGAATCGCTCGGGAGTTTTATCTAAAAATGAATTGCTTCAAATATTACTTAAAAATAAATAAATAATTTACCATCTTGAACACACGTAAATTTTGGCGGTTGTATATCCCCGAGTTTAATGTAACAATACCCAAATCGTTGTATATCAATCCTCACTTCTTGCGTAGTATCTGAATTATCTTTTGATGTTACCACTGTTGTGGTAAGCAGAAAAAGCGCGATTTTCATCAACATCTTTGTTGATTATGAATAAAATTTCGTTGTAATTCTTTATATACTTGTTTAACCGCAAGGTCGCTACAAATTATTAAGAATTCCTTTCTTGGTTAAAATCGGATTAATTAAATGAACTGGAAAACCTTCGCACTTAAAAGTAAATAAAATAAAATTTTTAATAATTTAAATCTGGATTGATTTAAAGAAGTGTTAGATGTTTAAGAATATCTAAAAACCTATAATCATCTCCATCCACACAGTAATTACTGGAATCATGTACTTTTAGACATCTGCACCGTAGGATAAGAGTGCGTTTCGAAGCACCACCAAAAGAGAAAATAACTTAATTGCAAAATCCAGCTGGTCGAAAACGCGATGTTACGAACCGCAGTCGGCAATTATGCGATTTCGGCCACAGAAAACAACAGCTGAACGGCATAATAACTTTATCCCAAAACCGTCCAAAACAGAATTCGCTGGATTTGCGGTCAAACCGTCGACGTTTCAGTCCGACAAAGACATCAAGTCACCCAAGAGGGTTCCCATTTTGCGATAACATATTTATTTCCAGGCGGTCTCGAGAAGTAGGAGGAGACCTTCCAGGTACGGGCCCGGTCGGCGGCAAAATTAAATTTTCATTAGCAACAACAGCTGGTCAACGATCACGACCAGAAGAGGTTGTGCGGAACGAAGAACACGTTCCACCACGAAACGAACGGACTAATGTCTTCATTAATACGTTACGTAAAGACATTTATATCCCCTATCAATATCAACAGTATGAATCACGTTTTAAATTAACCTATAAAAAAATCATACAAAAAAAGCGTGCCAAATTGATCGCTAGCAATTCACTAGATGGACGGGTTCTAACAGTAAAAAGATTCTTTTTATAAAAAAAACTTTAAGCGGTTTTATTTTCTTTGGGATAGGCGACCAAATCAAATCAGAATGACCAAACCAGAGACGTATCAATTACCACGTTTAAAAACGCCGTGAGATTTCTTGATTATCTTTTACAATTCGCCGGTAAATGGAAGGCATTGAAGCGGAGATTCCGTTAGGCGGAAGATATTAGTAAGAGAATCTAAGCACAGTGGAGATGGAACCACAATGTAAATCGAATGGTCTATTAGATATACAGTGGAACAATAGGTCTTTGTATGATAAAGTTATAATGTATTAAAGTTTAATATGAATTTAAATGGAAATTAAAAAAGAATCCTTTCATATTGAGAAATAGGAAATTTAGTATCTAAAAAAAGTCGGCAAAGTACCTTAAAGACTCATAAGTACATCCTTATTTTTTTTTGAAAAGAAACTAAGTATGTTATTTAGTACTTATTGTTAGAATAGATGTATAAGATAATTCCTTTCTAACCACCTGCAAATTAGAGGTTTTTAGCTACCTGTTAAACCTCTGAAGTGAACAGGTTGTATTGTTAAGTGTACAATAGCGAATTAAATGAATTGGAAAAGCTGGGATAATAACACATAATTCTAGAACTTAAAGAAATATAAATGGTTGTTGCATTGTTGTAAAGTAAAATTATCGAGTGCTATAATACATAATAAAAATTTGGTAAGACATAATCAAAGAACATGCCACCCAATAAGTAACGCGCATTTTGTCGTAACCTAATCTATCAAACCAACGGATGCCAAAATCGATGAAGATAACCCCGGTAGATACTGCCCCCAGATAGGTATCTAGGAAATCTGATATTCCCGAAGCAACTCGCCGCCGCAACTTTGTTTATCGGTTGTCCCTACAGGTAGAGAGAGAGAGACTAGAATCCCGACCTCGACCGATCGTATTTTTTTATTTCTTTAGTCCGTTTGCACCGGTGAGGGCCTTTGTTTCCACCGGCCTGTCATCGAAAATGAAGATACGTCTGCCAACGGCCAAAACCGGTCCAAACACCGCGCCGCTTTGTACCAAAATTCGACGGCGTCACTTGTTAGGACCTGCCCACGAGGCGAAAAGAGACAGTAACAGAGACCCGTAATTACCTCACGGTCGAAACCTCTCTCTTTCTTTGTGGTGGCGGCGGCGACGTTTAGAAGATGTTAATTGCCGTTTTGTTATTCCGCGAAGGCGACTACTTAACGGGCGAAGAATAATAATAGCATTGTGACGGGTTGTACTTGGGGAAAAGAACCCTGTAATCCCATAGAAGGAGTTATGGAAGCTGGAAATGTAGCGGAGGTTTACATTTTATTGTAAAAGCCAGATTCTTTAGAATGTTGCTACAACGTTAACAAGAAAAAAATCTTAAATAAAATCAAAACTAATTTTCTTTTACAGAAGAACCATTTTACATTTAGTGTACTGTTAAATTAACAAAAAGAAACGTAGCCAAAAGTCCGTTATATAAAAATAAGAAGACGCACGGCTAAATCTGAAACTTTCTAATTCTAGTGTTAGTTCTAAAAGTTCAACGAGAAATGTACAACAATCTAACGTTGAATAACAACTAAAACTAGAACTAACACCAACATTAGATCTAGAACCAGAAACACTCTATATGGTCTAATTGAAACTTTCTGTTTATGAACCTAAGGTGTGCCCGGATATTATAGGACTCATAGATATTAGATGGTTGCATTCCTTCTTGCCGTGCAGTTTCCACAAGTCTTTGTATGATGGCTGTCGGTATTTTCGGCTTGGAGAATTTCACCAATTTGGACGTTTGTTGCAGTCCTTAACTCAGTATTCCGATTCGCCCCAGAGCAATTGTTATCTAAATTATGTAGAAGGTATTGAACGTATCATGCATTGGGAGCAAGGATCCCAATCCATACTAAGGGACGGCCTCCGCCTAACTTTACTGTTGGCACAATACATTCGGGCAGGAGGTTTTCTTCAAGCTGACACTAGATGTTTAGAAGATGTTAATTGCCGTTTTGCTATTTATAAACTGAGCTGTCATAACTATTATGTATGCAACATCTCCAAGTGTAGATTTAGCTAAATTACATAGTTAATTTGTTTTAGTTGGTTTAATAAAAGAAACCAGAAACAATAAATCAAAAATCAACAACAAATAAATAAAAAAACGACAACACTAACAGGAATAATAAACAAAGTACATAAAATAACAAGACAAGTAATAAGAAATACTAAAGGAAATGTTCAAAAACTTAAATTTCTTTTTTTTTAGTGCTATTATTGAAATCGAAACCCAACTTTTTACATTTAACACGAAAACGGTGATTTATATCAATATTATCTAACAGTAATAAAAGTTTCTAAACTAAATTTACTATTAGAAACTGCAAAAATAAATGTAGTGTTATGATAGAATAAAAAAGTTCTGAGCAAACAAACTTTAGGAACAGCCTGTATACCATTGTCCCCGCGGACCGATCCAACTCATAAATTGCCTAACGATTTTACATCACATTGATTTATACTGTACCAAATTTCAGCGCTTTATACTGTAAATAGTGTTTAAGATCTTTGGAAAAATGTGTTAAAATTTCCTAACATGATGGCCTGTATCTTTAAATTTTGAAGACTTTTACTAATTTCTTTTTACATGAATCGTCATGATTTTCACTCTAGTAATGTGGTTAAATTTGTTCCCCGAGTCACCAAAACACCTGTATACATCTCGATTTGAACTAACCATATCTACGTGTTTAGATATTTTTCTTTTACTTCTTTTCTTTTCTCGAATCAGAATTTGTTGTAATTAGATGAAGAATTTTTAATGTTGGCTTTATTTCCAATGTACCGCATTCGAATTATTAAGTTAATAAATTTTGTTGGGACGTATTTTTATTCCTTTTCCAGTATTAGCAAATTTTCTGTATTGTAATATATAGATGATAGGTTAGGCATTCGTTTGTGGAAATGGTGGTGTGTTGTATTTTTTGCTTTATCGTGCTTTTGATGGTAGTCAAAATCCTTTATCATTTTGTGATCTTAACCCATTTAGTCCCACGTTGCTTTGTATTAAAAAAAAACGGTTTTTTATAATTTTCCATGAGATAAGATGGAATGAAAAGTATAAGAATTTACAGAATTTACTTTTAAAGAATTTTGATTTGTATTGATACAAATATGGTTTAAATAGCAAGAATTATGAAATACTTTGATATGTATAGCCTAACAACCTTATAGTGTTATAGTACAAACAGCTAGCACTTTCAAATCTGGAAGTATATGGCTGTAATTTTAAAAACGCTGGTGCGTATTCACACCAGTGGGACTAAGGAGCACTTTTACCACCTCTTGATAAATTTATCCGATAGATAAATNTAAATTTAATTTTAAAACTCAAGTGCAATACACATACATCAAAAATACGTGAAGCTTTATCACATATATATTTTAAATTCGTATTTGGTGTCTCCGTCTGTACTTCTTCACAATACCTAATTATAGAGTTTTTTTCGCGTTTAGACAGTTGACATCCCGTTCCACCCTTTCTTAACATTTTTATGGTAGATTTAGCAGCAAAAAAATTATATGAAAATTGTTTTTTAATCAATCTTAACAAATTTGATAGACAGTAGTGGCACACAATTAAAGTAAAAGTCACGAAATGCGCTTTTACTTTCAATACCAACTTGACGACACTTTGACAATTGATTTAAATAAAAAACAGATTATACGTGCTTAGATATTTTTCTTTTACTTCTTTTTTCTTCTCGAATCAGAATTTGTTGTAATTAGATGAAGAACTTTTAATGTTGGCTTTATTTGCAATGTACCGCATTCGAATTATTATTAGTCTGAGGTTAATATATTTTGTTGGGACGTATTTTTATTCCTTTTCCAGTATTAGCAATTCTTCTGTATTGTAATCTATAAATGATAGGTTAGGCATTCGTTTTGTGGAAATGGTGGTGTGTTGTATTTTTTGCTTTATCGTGCTTTTGATGGTAGTCAAAATCGTTTATCATTTTGTGATCTTAACCCATTTAGTCCCACGTTGCTTTATATTAAAAAAAATCGGTTTTTTATAATTTTCCATGAGATAAGATGGAATGAAAAGTATAGGAATTTACAGAATT